CACACTCCTGACCTAGTAGAGAAGTGTGGCTGGGTTTCTACAGCACTAGGCACCTGCTGCATTCTGCTGCATTCCCAGGTGACTCTACAAGGGGGGGCAGGTTGAACAGTCTAAACCAGATCTCATCACACACTGAGACAGAATGACTTGACCCAGTTTCACCCCTACTGGTGTCCATGGTCTCAGGGAGGGTAGAATGTCCTTTCTCAATCCCCAGCTTGGGGCTTGCCCTTATGGTTTGCTTCGGCCCATGGAGTGAAATAGAAACAAGAGTGTGCAGTTCCAAACTCAGGCTTGAAAAGACTCTCCAGGTTCTTCTGGCCCTGCAGCCAGCCAGCTCAGGAGGGGATCGCAGCAACGCCAGCCACCTGTCTGCCGACCAGGTTCGTCACTCCAGCAGCCTCTGGCACTGATGAGAAGCCACACCGCGTCTCCTGGAAGCATGACGGTCACGAAGGAGCTGAGCTTTACTCCAGCTGCTTTTTGCCTGTGCTCTTGCTATGTGGGCACACAGATTTAACTACTTGCATTTTAATTTCTCACCACATAGCCAAAAGTGGTTATGAATTTTAGGAATTTTAATACACAAAAGTAAGTATTTACAAGTGCTGCTGAAGCAGGATGGCCTCATTCAGTGACGACTTCTTCCGGTGCCCCACCTGCCTCACCCTCAGCAGTGGACTCTGTGGGCGCCGCCTCTACGACAACTTCTCGGAGCTCCCTGGAGAACAATGTCAAGGCAGTGAAGCTTTCCCTACCCCCTCATTCTAGACAGGAATTTCAAGTCATCCCCACCTACTTACCCTGCATTTATCTTTAAAATCGCCTCATCTGGGGATTCATCTTGTAGCTTGGCTGGCGCTCCTCTCATGCGTGAGGCACTCATGGGTCTGTACATATCCCTGAGCCAGAGCGGCCGACCAAACTGGGGGACGGCCTCCTGGAAAACAGAAGAGAACTTAGGACTCTGCTTTCCCCTGCCTCTTCCGCCCAGCACCAGGTCCTTCTCACATTTACCTCCTTTTCATGCTCCGTTGTGCATCTCCCATGCCAATGTCGGGAAAAGTCCCTTGTGGAAAAACATACGTGCAAGACAATTAGTGATTGATTTGTGTTCTTTTTCATGTCTCAGACTGCACAGTTCAGTTCTCATTAGGACAAAATCTGTACCTTGGTCCATGATCACACTGAGCAAGATCACTCCAGACTTGGAGTCCTGAACACAATTGCACAGTGCTAGGTTTTCAGAGGCTCCACGCATTACCAAGGGCCTCACAAGGTCTCTGGAGAGACCTCTGCTCCTGCCTCGGCCTGCACTTATACTGTCAGTCGGGTACACTTGTGCAGTGAACACCTACACAGCCACACTGAGTGAAGCATTTCACTCTCTCCAGAGCCTTTCCCATCAGTCCCCTGCACACTTATCCCACATGCAGCCCTCACTGTGAAGAACTAGAAGGTGCTTCCATTTTCCTAGCTCGTTTGTGAAGTCAGTTTAAAGGACAATTAGCACTAAAGCACAGGATGTCCTTTTGCAGCCATGTGTGGGGGTATACACTTGTAATCCCAGTGTTCTGGGAGACTGAGGCAAAGGATGGCAAATTCAAGCCCAGCCTGGGGAACTTAGCAAGATCCTGTGTCAAATTAATTAATCAAGTGAAGAAAAAAAACTGGAGATGTAGCTCACTACAAAAGATTTGGATTCAATCTCCAGTACCATCAAGAAAGAAAGAAAGAGAAAGAGAGCCCTTTGAAATACAAACAGAAGAGAAAAAACCACAACTTGCCATTTCAGAGACTACTGCAATCTACAGGGTCTGCACACACTGACTGGTGATAAAACATGGCTCAGGCCAAGCACGGTGTAATCAGGGGGAGTGCTGGCTGCGGGGAAGAAACTGCCCTCTTTCTGACACTCACTAGCAACATGACCACTGGGCAAGATCGTTTCCTTTTCTTCCTCACCATTTCCTCATTGCAAAGGAAGAAACAAACTACCATCGTGTAGATCTCTCCCAGTGAGAAGGCTGCGAGGTCTGAATAAACAAATGGAGGATCACAAAGGAGCTGAAAGCATGAGACAGGGCACTTCTGACCCCTCCGAGGAAAGATGGAAGGACTCCACCTACCACCAGCCCCAGCCCAGCACTTGGGCTCCCTGCACAGCCCCAAAAGGACTCTCCACAGCAGAAGCAGGTACACCCAACCTATCACTTCCACCCTCAGTGCTGGACGCCTGGTGACAGACAGCAGGTGCCTCTTCACTCTTCTGGCCCGTCTCAGCTTTATTAGAGCCAGGTGAGGCCTCAGGCAAGGGAGGATTCTTCTGCTGCAGGTGAGCCCTGCACTGTGAGATCCAGGAATTTAAATGGTAGAAGTGTTCTGAGTTCTCCTCTAGTTCTGGTTCTGGTTCTGAGGTTCTCAGTTAAAGATTGGCACACTCGTATTTACCTTGAGGACTCTCCACCTTCTCTTCTGTGAGGACAAATCTGTTGTGGAAAGAAACAGTCTTGAGCATCCACCACAATCTCCCAATTTTCACTCACTCCTTTTATTAAAGTACTAATTACTCAGTGTGATAAAAACTTTCCTAGAGACAGAATTCTACCCAATTAATCATAGTTCCTTGACTCCTCCAAAGCACTGTATCAGACTCTTGCATGGAGCTACTCTTTTATACAGTACTGGGGACTAAACTCAGGGTTTTTGCACTGAGATAGATAGATAGACACACAGATAGATAGACACATAATAGACAAACAGATTATTTTTTGGAGATGGTCTTCCTAAGTCACTTAATTGCCCAGGCTGTGTTGGAATGTGCACCACTCCTGCCTCAACTTCCCGGAGTGCTAGGATCTGGGCCATATGCCACAATTCCCAGCCAGCTAGAGTGGTACTTTGGTTCATAAACTTAATCCTTCTATGATTTTGATTGCAACTGAATTGCAAGCAAATGACCCCATGATGGTCCTGCTTCTGGGGCTCAGAAATTAGTCTCTGATCTCACTATAGAGAACTTATTCCTTCCCTTTGGAGCTCGCTTACCTTATCAATACCACAGGACTGACCCAAGTCAGAATGCCAGATTATGGCCTGACAAGAAATACTTCTCTCCCAGTGACAACATATCTCTCTGCACCATCAGGGTGTTATACCATTGTACAGAGAGGCCTGTGAGGCACAAGCAGGTACAGTAGGAGGCTACTTGCTGAGAAGAGATTCAGAACAACAAAGGGATCAGCTGAATCCAGCATGAAATAGGGTCAAGGAGTCAAATCCCTGCCTCCCTGCAACAGGGGAAGCCTCAGCAGCAGAACTGACTCCACATCTGCTGGCCCAGGTTTCATCTCTATTCCTACCCAATGAATGTTAGAATGGGTGTGGCCTATGCAGGCTCTTTCCTCACCTTTTCATGCTTTGACTACTGTCCAGCCCTTCTCTGAATAGGCACACTTTTCGGGCCCATTCCACTCTGGTCTGATACACTAGAAGCCATCTGGTCCTTATATCTCTCCACTCTGATCTTCTATGTATTTTTGTTTCTTCTTTTTGAAACAGAGTCTAGCAATGTAGTCCAGGCTGACCTTGAACTCACTAAGTAGCCCACACTGGCTTCGAATTTGTGCCAATCCTCCTGCCTCAGCCTCCCAAATGTTAGGATTACAGGTGTGCATTACCATGCCCAGCTTTATTACCTTGGTGTTTCCCTCCTGCATACCTGTCTTATAAAAAACAATCTGTCTACCAGTTTTAGTTCTCGGACTGGGGGGCCTTAAGAAATGGACACAAATCTCTTAGGAGGAGTCAAGGCTCATGAGAGTGAGGGGATTTGGGGAAGGATGCATGAAGAAAGATGAGCTTGAGTTGGCTTTCGACACACTCATGAGACTTCCACAGGCAGGT